TATTTTCACACCTTCCAGAATTGCTAACACCTCCTCCTTATGAACCTCAATCCTGTCTCGTCTTATGGTTATCCAAATAGCTGCCCTGCAATTCTGTCATATCCTCGTGCTTTGTAAGCTGACATTTCCCCTGGACCAAACTCTCTCTCCCTCCAATTAGTTGACAGTTCTGTGTGGCCCCAGTTGGTCAGTTCACCATAACCACAATCCTATTTCCTCCACTCATCTTGAAGATACTTCATATAAAGGTACTGTGGTCAGTTTGCTCGCCCTCTCCCTCACCCTGTAACCACTGGACAATTACAGGGGCAAAGGCTCCTTAAGCACTTCCTCCTGGGCCATGGGTTCCCATCCCTGCATTCATGCCCTCCATTCCCTGATCAGACTAAAATTGAATTTGAATGACCTAGTCTGAAGGGTTTGACTGCCTTCCAGGGTAAAGTCTCCATACACTTTCCCCTTGCTCCAATGTGACACAATGGTTGCAGTTCTGACTCCAGGGGTTAGTGGTGTCACAGTTCATGGTAATCAGCAGCAAGTTTCCTGAACCTATTTGACCTGAAGCTATAAAACTTCATGGGGTCTGAAGTCAATACTGAGGATCCCCAGGGCAACTCCCTCCTGACTGTATACCACTGTGTGCTGCCACCTCTGCTGGGTCTGTCCTGCTCATATTCTTGTTCAAAGGAGCTCAGTTACTTCATCAACAATGTCATCCTTGGGAAGGGGTTATGCAGTCAGACCCCTGGCCTTGCAGCTAACTCCCCATGTGACGAACATCCTACCCACATTCGCTTGTAGCCTAGCTTTTTTTCTTTGACCTTGGGTCTCTAGTTGAGTTGCTGGAAGTTATGGCTGCTCTTGCTGGTACTACCCATAATGGACAACTTCTGGCACCTTCAACTTGATCTCAGTTGGCCATCTAATTGCCTGATTCACACTCCATAGTCAGAGCTTCCGAAAGGCGGTGATGCAGGGCTTGAGTCAGCTCATCAGTGAGTGAAGTCCCTTCTCCTGAATTAAGCACTGTCCAAGAAATTACACTCTAAATCTAGAAGAAATGGGGAGGTGATGGCCAGTGATATTATTGCTAGACCATTAATCCAGAGACCCTGGGGACCTGGGTTCAAATTCTGCCAAAGCTGATAGAATTTAAATTCAATAAATATCTGGAATTTGGATTCTTATGATAACCATGAATTTCAGGAAAAACCCATCTAGATCACAAATGCCCTTTTAGGGAAGGAATCTGCCATCCTTACCTGGTCTAGCCTACATGTGACTCCAGACCCACAGCAATATGATTGAATCTGAATCTGAACTGACCTCTGGGCAATTGGGGATGGGTAATAAATGCTGGCTTGCCCAGTGATTCCCATATCCCATGAAGGAATAAAAACTATTGCTCAGTGAGTACAGTGGCTGACAGATCAAAGTTGGTGGGGGGTTGCAGTGTTTTCAACGGCTTGGGTTGTTTTCTCTTGTTCATGGGATGTGGGTGTAGCTGGCTGGGTCAGCATTTATTGACCAAGTTGCTGGCACTTTTTCTTCAGGCCTTTGGTGCAGTGGAAGCAATGTCCGATAGGATTTGTATCCATTCCAGAGGGGAAGTTAATGTGGAGATCTCGGCTGAAGACCTTCTGAGCTGTTGTAAATTTGAATGTGGGAATGGGTAAGTAATTCTGGACAAGGAGCCTGATAATCCTTAAGGGAGGATGGAAACACAAGACAGTGTGGACATGGTAGCCATTTTAACCAGAAATTCTTTCTAGCTGTTGATGGATTATGCTGTTGTAATGTTCACCAGACATGTGGAGACTTCTGGGATGCCCACAATTGTACTAATCAGGAACAGCACAGGGTTAGATAGAGTAAAGCTCCCTTCACACTGTCTCCAACAAATTCTCCCAGGACAAGAACAGCAGTGTTAGATATAGATTAAAGCTTTCAGAGACAGTAAGAACTACCGATGCTAGAGTCAGAGATAAGTGTGGAGCTGGAGGAACACGGGGGGCCCGGCAGCCAGGCCTCATTTCTGAAACGTCCTGACCTGAAACGTCAGCTTTCCTATTCGTCTACTGCCTGGCCTGCTCTGTTCCTCCAGCTCCACGCTTTTGTTATCTTAAAGCTTTCTCTACTCTTAGTTTTTTTTTTTTTTTTTTAAAAAAAAAAAGACAACAAGTTGCCTCAATTATTTAAACAGAAGTAAAGTTTTGCACTGTCTCCATCCAACACTCCTAAAACTGCATGTGGTCAGAGGCAGAGTAAATCTGCTTCTACAGTGTCCCCATCAAACACTCCCAGGACTAGAGGTTTACATACAGTAAAGCTTGTTCTACAATGTCCCATCAAACCCTCTGCTCTGAAGTGTAAAGTAAAGTGCTCTCAACATTTTTTAAACTGAAAGTCAGGCAGCCTCTGCTTTATTTCTTTTAAAAATCTGAAAGTAAAGGTCTTTGTACTCTTTTTAAACTCAAAGTAAGGCAGTCTCTCTACTCTTTAACATTGAAAGTAAAACTCTCTCAACACTCCCTAACAAACATTCCAGGATAGGTACAGCACAGGGTTAGCTGCAGTGTTAAACTCCCTTGGAAGAATGAAAGAACATAAGAAACGGGAGCAGGAGAAGGCTATCTGGCCCATTGAGCCTGCTCCACCATTGGTCTTGTCACAGATTCAACTCCACTTACCTGTCTGTTTACCATAACTCTTAATTCCTTTGCAGTTCAAAAATCTGAATATCTTTGCTTTAAAAACATTCAATGAGGTAGCCTCAACTGCTTCACTGGGCAGGGCATTCCACAGATTCACAAACTTTGGGTGAAGAAGTTCTTCCTCAACTCAGTCCTGAATCTGCTCCCCATTTATTTTTGTGGCTACTCCCCTGGTTCTAGTTTCACCCACCAATGGAAACAACCACCCTGCTTGTATCTTTATCTATTTCCTTAATTTTTTTTCCTGTAAAACATTCCCTGCCATGCACGCACCTTCTTCTGAATTCCAATGAGTATAGACCCGGTCACTTCAGTCTCTCCTCATGAGCCAACTCCGCAACTCTGGAATCAACCTAGTGAATCTCTTCTGCATCCGCTCTGGTGCCAGTACATCCTTTCTCAAGTGAGGAGACCAAATTGTACACAGTACCCTAGGTGTGGCCTCACTAATACCCTATTCAGCTGCAACATAACCTCCCTCTCTTTAAACTCCATTCTTCCAGCAATGAAGGACAATATTCCATTTATTTACCTGCTGTATCTGCAAACCAATTGTGATTCATGCACAATGACACCCAGGTCCCTCTGCACAGCAGCATGCTGCAATTTTTCACCATTTAATCATAGTCCATTTTGCTGTTTTGTCCTACCAAAATGGTAGAGAGTGAGACATTGGATGACCTCATATATCTGCCAAACCATTGCCCACTTACTTTACCCAATCTATATACAACTGCAGACTTTGTTCTCTGCACACTTTGCTTTACCACTCATTTTTAGTGTCATCTGTGAACTTTGACACACCACATGTGGCTCCCAACTTCAGATCATGTGAGTTGTAAATGATTGTGGTCCCAACACTGATCCCTGAGTCACACCACTAGCCACTGTTTGCCAACCAGAAAAACACCCATTTATTCCCACTGTTTGCTTTCTGTTAGTTAACCAAGTTTCTATTGTTTATAATGTTACCTGTAATGCTGTGCACTTTTATCTTTATGCAGCAGTTTTTTGTGTGGCATCTTGTCAAATGCCTTCTGGAAATTCAGATACATGACATCTACCAGTTCCCTGTTGTCCACCGAGCTTGTAATGTCCTCGGAGTTCCAGTAAATTAAACATTACCTGCCTTTCATGAACCCATTCTGTCTGCCCAGTGGGACAATTTCTATCCAGATCTCATGCTTTTTTTTTCCTTTTTAAGTTAAACTAACGGGATGATAGTTACCCGCTTTTTGCCTAACTCCTTGGTCCTCCCCTGCCGTAACCTCCTTGTCATCAATTATTGGTATGTTATTTGTGTCTACCACTGAAGACTGACACAATGTCCTGTTCAACACCTTAGCCATTTCCCATTTATTAAATCCCCTTTCTCATCCTCCTAAGGTCCAACATTTACCTTAGCCACGCTTGTTTTTTCCACTTTTATATTTGTAGAAACTTTTACTATCTGTTTTTATATTCTGAATTAGTTTACTCTCATTAGCCATCTTGCCTTTCTTTATAGCTTTTCTTGTGGCTTTCTATTGACACCTTAAAGATTTCCTGAACCCCTAGTTCCCCACTAATTTTTGCCACTGTGTGCGTTACCTTTCAATTTGATACTCTGCTTTATTTCCTTAGTTATCCATGGCTGATTTTTTTTTTCCTGCAGTCTTTCCTTTTTTACTGGTATGTACTTTTTGCTGAGTGCTGTGAAGAATCGATTTTGAAAGTCCTCCAGTGTTCCTGTCTACCCTCTTTCAAACTGAAAGTAAAGCTCTCTGCAACGTCTCCATCAAATATTCCTAACGCAGGGACAGCACAGGCTAAGATACAGAGGAAAAACTCCCTATACTGTTTTAAACTGAAAGTAAAGCTCCATCAATGCTGTCCCCATCAAATTTTCCTAAGACAAGTACAGCACAAGTCAGATACGTTGAGTGCGTTGGATAGAAACACTGGTGAGCAGAAAACAATGAAAAACTGAAAACTGCAGATGCTGGCAATGGGAAATGGGAAACATTGAGGTTGCTGAAAAGTTCTCAGCAGGTCTGGCAGCATCTGTGGAGAGGAATCAGAATGAACATTTTAGATCCACTGACCCTTCTTCAAAACAATAGGAATTGTTTTTTGACTGGCAGGCAGTGACCAGTGGGGTAGTGCAGGAATCGGTGCTAGCACCCCAGCTAATCACAATATCTCATCACATTTAGTTCCGTCATCTAAATCATTATCTCAATTTGCAAATAAAACAAAGCTGGGTGGGAGAGTGAGATGTTTGTGATTGGACAGGCTGAGCGAGTGGCAAATGCATGGCAGATATAGTATAATGTCGACAAATGTGAGGTTATCCTCTTTAGGAGCAAAAACAGAAAGGCAGATATTATCTGGCTGTAAATTGGGAGAGGGGAGTGTGCAGTGAGACCTGGGTGTCCCTGTGCACCAGTCGCTGAAGGTAAGCAGGCAGGGGCAGCAGGTGGTAAAGAAGGTAAATGGTATGTTGGCCTTCATTTTGAGGTTTTGAGTATAGGAGCAGGGATGTGTTGTTGCAGTTATACAGGGCCTTGGTGAGGCCACACCTGGAATATTGTGTGCAGTTTTAGTCTTTTTCTGAGGAAGGATATCTCTATAGAGGGCGTATAGCGAAGGCTAACAGGCTGATTCCTGGGATGACAGGACTGACGTGTGTGGAGAGATTGAATCTGTTACACTTGTATTCACTGGAGTTCAGAATAAGATGGGATCTCGTGGAGGCCCATAAAATTCTAACGGGACAAGTCCGGGTAGATGCAGGATGCTCTTGATGGTGGCAGAGTCCAGACCAGGGGTCACAGACTAAGGATATGGGGTAAACCATTTTGGTCTGAGGAGAAATGTCTTCCAGAGAGTGGTGAGCCTGTGGAATTCTCTGCCTCAGAAGGCAGTCCAGGCCAAAACATCATGCAGCTTTTGTTGTAATCATACAATGCATTTTGAGCTAAGGGAATCAAAGGATATAGGGGGAAAGCTAAGCCAGGCTATTGAGTTGGATCACTAACCATGATCATAACTGGTGGAGCAGACTTGAAAGGCTGAATGGCCTACTCCTGACCCTATTTTCTATAGTCCTCAAACCTTCTATACTCCAAGATAGAAAATAGAACAGAACAGCACAGTACAGGCCCTTTGGCCCACGATGTTATGCTGACCTATTATCCTACTAAGATCAATCTATCCTGCATACCCTACATTTTACTATCCTCCATGTGCCTGTCCAAGAGTCGCTTAAAAGTCTCTAAAGTATCTGGCTCCACTACCACTGCCGGCAGCGCATTCCACACGCCCACCACTCTGTGTAAAGAACCCACCTTTGACATCTCCCCTATACCTTCCTCCAATCACCTTTTAAAATTATACCCTGGGATAAAGTCTCTGGGTATCCACTCTGTCTCATCATCTTGTAAACCTCGATCAAGTCACCTCTCATCCTTCTTCGCTCTAATGAGAAAAAGTCCTGGCTCCCTCAACCTTTCCTCCATAAGACCTGTCTTCCAGTCTAGGCAGCATTCTGGTAAATCTCCTCCTCTGCACCCTCTCTAAAGCTTCCACATCTTTGCAATAATGAGGTGACCAGAACTGAACACAATATACCAAGTGTGGTCTAACCAGAGTTTTAGAGCTGCAGCATAACCTCGCAGCTCTTAAACTCAATTCCCCTGCCAATGAAGGCCAACACATTGTACACCTTCTTTACAACCCTATCAACTTGGGTAGCAACTTTGAGGGATCTATGGACGTGGACCCCAAGATCCCTCTTTTCCTCCACACTGCTGAGAATCCTGCCATTAACCCTGTATTCTGCATTCAAATTCGACCTTCCAAAATGAATCACTTCACACTTTTCTGGGTTGAATTCCATGTGCTGCTACTTTGACCAGCTCTGCATCATGTCAATGTCTCGTTTGTAACCTACAACAGTCCTCCATGCTATCCGCAACTCC